CAACATAATAATAAGTTAAGTAACGTAACGAACGTAACGAAGTAATAAGTATAGACTAGTATATATATATATATAATATATATATATATATATATATATATATATACATACATACATACATATATATATATATATATATATAAAGTAGCAAAATTCTAACAATTAGAAAAACTAAAAATAGATGAAATTACATCAATAAATACATATAAACTGTCATAACCCATCATTAATACATTTGGAGATCTTGCTACATTTTGCACTGTCAAAGATTCTAAAAACTTATTCTCACAGGTAAATACAGCTACAAGTCTATCTCATGAATGCCATCAAAATTAATAGCTTTATAACAAATACTACTTTTAATGAAAAATGTCAAAAAATCAAGACACTTGGCTACTGTTCTGGAGTAAAAAAGGATAATGGTTAAATGTGCCATAACTTTTTACAATGCCATTCATCATAGAATTGTGCATTTGATGTCAGTATCAAATACTCCTTTCCACTCTACACTGCTGATTTAGCTACAGTTTGTGGTAGATGAGAGTAAATACCAGATACAATATATAGCATTAATGAAAAAAATTGTAGCTATGCATTTTGGAGGTTCTACAAGTATTGCAGATGCAATAATTAAATTGTAGGATGGAGAAAAATATTTTTATTCTTCACAGGAAAATCACCTTGCAGTCCAACTTGTTGGTCTGAATAAGACTAATGTCATGAATTCACAGATATATCAAGCACAAGCACTTTTGTAACACCTGATTTTTTTGTGTATAAAATTATGCATTTCACTAAAAACTTCCCACTTTTTATGCAAATTCATACAGAAAATACTGAAATATACTCAACATTCCTTATCCAATACTGGATCAATCTAATGGACAACCCTGTGAACATTGTTAAAAACTGTGAAAAAATATGTCTTGTAAGCAGAAAATGTTTGTCAAGGTGGACACAAAAGGAAAATCATTTTCTGCAAGACTAGAGTTGTGCCATTTGCACAACTTTTATCATTGGCAAAGCCAAGATAACAACCAATGATATTTAATTATTTAATAAAGTAATATTCACATTTTTTTAAACTATCCTACAGCTGACTAAACACTGATTTCATACCTAGCTGCTGGGTGATGGCCTTAATCAGTACTTTATAACAAAGCATTTTAAAACCTACTTTGGTACCAAAAATACATCAGAGCTAGTCACCTATGTACAAGGATTTAATACAAGCACACTACGAGTATAAAGGATAGAAATCTTTTGGTGGTGAAGACATCTCCAACTTCTCATTTAATGATGTTAATCTAAATTCTAGATATTTAAATTACATTTATGTACTTTTAAGTTTAACAGTACTTACGTTGTGCGCAATATTTATTTAGTAATAAATGATAACACTTTTAAATATCAATATTTTGTACAAAAATTACCTTTTGCTTAGAAAACGACAACTGTGAGGTTAAGACAATGTTTAATTGTTATTAACTTTACGTTTTACTTCACAGTTGCACACTTACGCTAGTTAGGCCTAGCGACAATAGATTTAATTAGTACACTGCCGCAGTCAACACATTAAACACACTAGTGAAATAGTAAGTACACAAAAAACTTATAATTGTCTAATAATACAACAAATTTGATTTCTCAAAAATAACAGTTTAAAGTTATTTTGTTCTTTTCAGTATCAGTAATAGTAGCATACATCAGTTGCATAGTATTAGATATTCGTATTGGAGACGTGCATATCTTACTGAAATTAATAACCACTCATTCAAACCTTCCAAAGTCTAAATTCTATCTATAATGTAATAATATCGAGCATTAAATTTGGAAAATAAGCTTTTTAAATATAAATACATGCTTTTAATTGTTGATGCAAACAGATATATTCATAGAGAGTAAATTAAGACAACCATACCTCCTATTCGCCACAACTAAAAGAGAATAGTCCCGTATAATCACGTTCGTAACGAGAAAGCAACAATGCAACATAGCATACAAAATATTTTCATAAAATAGTTTGTTTTGTTTTATTAGAATGTGTTCAATTATTTTATTTATTCAACATTTTAAAATAATTAGACAATGAATAAACGTTCAATTGTAACAAATGAGATATAATGATTACAATGTTATATGTCCATTCCCTTGCTATCATAGCCTTTATAGTTTCTTGGTAATTTGTCACAGCAATATTCATGATAATTTTAATATCATTTTTCTCTACTTTTGAAGCTACCATATAGTAACCTAAATTAATTTAGTTGTGTTAATAGTGTTGTAACA